ACAGGCTACAGTCAGTGTGCGATGAATAAATTCTCTGCTCAGTGGGTGCCAATTTTCGATTTTGCTATCAACAACATTTTGGATCATTTCTGACACTTTATTTGTTAAACTTAGAACCTGGAACCTGTGGAAGATTCCCTCACCTCATTATTTTCACATTCCCTCAAATCACGTGTCTTTGCCACATGGCTATGATTCCTTCCAGAACCCCGTCAGCTGCTCCACTGGTTGCACCACTGAGGTTGAAAATGAAATCGCGTGTGCCCTCTGGGCCACCGTAAGTCAGGCTAGTTGTATGCGCACAGCCTGCTAAAAGTTGAAAGGGCAATATTAATGCCATTACAGTTGATATATAGTAGACATTTACACATTCAGTGATCAAATGTCACGGAGTGGTATGGGGGATGGTCATTTATGAAGGGGGGGTGATTTTTTAGATTTTTTTAAAGGAGGGGAATGTCATCCGCCTTCATCCCCCCTCAACTCAACTACTGCTTCCAACCTTCTTAGAGCACAAGCGCACTGCTCTAACCAGTAGGCCAACACTCACTCCAATGATGAACAGTTTTAACATTCCTCTTTCGTGGCTATATTAAAAACTAAATTTTAAAACCTACAAGTACAAATAAAAGTCTCTCTTACTTAATCCTATCTCAGCATTATTTTTTCTATCTTTCACTAGAGACATCATTAGAGGTTTCTTTTTCACATTGCTTTGCGTCACATTGCTCCTCTTGCTCTCCTGCACATCGGGATAACATGAAAATCGTCCTATCAAAATGTGAATGTGATGAGCTAGAAAGGCAGAAAGTTCTGTTTACATCCACAGTGTATCTAAGTTTGTTTTTGAACAGTAGAGAGTATAGAAATAAAAAGTAGAAAGATCTATGATAACCTGGTTACTTGATTTTTTAAAAACATTTTGAACTCAAAATATATTAGAATGAGTGTTGTCTATTTTGATGTTTTATGTCCATGCTAATTTGAACAAAATGTCTGTGGTACAATAACAAAGGCATATTCGTGGGGTTGTTGTCCTTTAAATTCAATGATGTACAGAACTCCTACACAGCCTTTAAGTAATTTGGCCTAAACTTTAATTAATTTCAATAATTTTGGGTCACTTCCTCATTTTTGTTAAAGGTTGTTATGGTACTTTGGTGGTAATGTAACATTTATTGAAAGATCCATGTAATACATCTCTTCTCCAAAGTTGATCAGAAGCAGCAGCGCCTCTTTGTTTAATGCCTTCCCTCTGTCAGCTGTCTGGTTATAGGTGTCTGTGGTCCTTAGCAGAGATAATAGGAGACAAACTGTCCTTTTGAGTCTCTTCCTTTGGACAGTGAGCCACGCATTTTCTTCCTCACAGCATCAATTCTTGTTGCTAGGAGACTGCTTGGTGGGTTTTTTTTCTCTTGACCCAGCTCGGTTTGTTTTGTTTTTTTGTCTCTTTTTGAAATCTTGGAGCACCCCCCCCTTCTCTCATATTGAAAGCATTGCCATTTCCTTCAGTTCAATGATGAGGCTTCAATATACGTTTCTCAATGCATTTCAAGTGAGGATTTTCTCATTTTCAGCCAATAGTGTTTCCTTTTTTTCATTTTATCTCATGCAGGAAAAACTCCAAAATTGAAACCTGCATCAGGATTGGGTTGTTGAATTATTAACCCAACCCTCATTGTTGTAATTAAAATACAGCCTTCACTGAATATGAACAACTTTTTTTTATTTTTTTTTTGTTTGTAGAAAATTGACTTAATTGTTCACAATTAGATTGCTGCTTGATTTTTATTTAACTAGAGATTATGTTACCAGTGTAAAAGTAATTTTAATACTGTTGCTGAATATTGAGAGAATCGTATATCATTTACAATCAGCTCACATATTTCATCAATTTTTTTAACTTTTCCTTCGTCATAATGTCCCCTCGAAACTTTGTACATTTGAGCGCCTTACATATAAAACATATGCAGGAAGTATTGTAATTTACAGCAAATAAACTAAACAGTATGCCATATATACAATGATATGGGCTTGCAAAGCCTGCTTACATAGCAATTAAAATGATCAGAACATCCTATGAAATTCTGTGATTGCTGTACAGTACATATTGATAGTGAGATGATATGTATTAGAAAGTTCATATAGAGGGCGATCCCCTCTCTGTTATTTATTAGAAGCATTCTCACTGGTTTCTTGCTTCACTCCACTGACTCAAGATTGATATTCAGTGCTTGGATTTCTCTGCAAGCCGCTCAGCAGCGGAAACAGTTTTTACAAAATACTAAAAAACAGACCATCTTTGCTTCAATTTCATTTAGCGCCCAGATCACTTCAATTTGTTTTGTATTTTTATTTTTTCTTATTGCATGTCCTCTGGCTGTACAAAGCAAGCAATGTTATAGGCTTGACTCAGTTTCCCAGCTAGTAGCTGCTGGATGGTCAAGCTAAGTCAACACTGTGGTCACTTTGATTGGACAGTCGGTCAGGGTTTAAACCTCAGTGGGTTTGTGAGGTCACCACATGCAGTCTGTATGACTGAAGCAGTGCAAACTGACCAGCAGCAGATCTGGTATTTTACAGATTGAGTTTATTCCCAGGTTTAGGCCTCTCAACACCTGAATTAATCAAGAATAATCCATATTTTACAAATTATTATGATTGGTCCAGAACAAATGCACAGGTCTGACAGTTGTAAATTGGAAAACATAAGCTTATTATACTCAGTCTGTGATTACTGTCTGATTAGCAGGGTACAGTAAACCTGCTGTGCTCACTTGCGACCATCTGGATGCTGCCGTGCTGAAAATATGGGACAAGCCAGGATTTGCCTTGTATGATGCAGTGTTAATTGCTGACATCTGACATGACTGTGATGCATAGTGAATCAAATCATCCTTTTCATCTTTTTTATTTCTTTTTTAACTGTAACCAATCTACTTAAGAACAGAAAATAATTTAGTTAAAAGTAAGAGCAGAGGAAATTGGATCAAAAAGTAACTCTTTGTTTTAGGACATACATCCTCCATATCTCCACCGACATTCAGTAGTTCAGAGTGAGAGATCGTCCCCAGAGGCTGCCCATCTGGAAGAGGCGAAGACCGAAGGGATACAGCAGGAATAACATCTGGATCTATCCAAGCTGAACTGACATGAAATATGATTTATTTCAGTTTGAACACCAGTCTTCCCCTAGACATGGATCTAAAATTGTTTTTGGGAGTTCTCTACATGTATATTAGTTAGTTCTTAGCCAGTTATTGCCTTCCAGTGGCCTTTTCATTTATTTATTTTTATTTTTTATTCCTAATGAAGTGGAAATTATGCTTTCAAAGTAAATTAACAGATCAGGGAGCCCTTTATTGAACTTGGTACATGATTTATGAGTGCATTAAAATGTCAATTTCCACAAGCATAAACGTATAATCTAAACAACTGGATGGATGGTTCAGGCCCAAACAGCTTTAAATGAAAACTTTATGTTCCACCCTATTTTGTGTGTTTGGTTGTTTTTTTTTTTTAGACCTATTTCCAAGAAGAATATCTACTTTAGAAAATGGGTTTTCCTTCTGTAAATTTGAAAAAAAGGGAAAAGTGAAAAGTATTGGATAAAATGCTTCATAGTTTTGTAGTATTATTTGATTGATTCTGTTTACATGAAAACATTGTAACGAAGTAAAATGATGTGGGATGGCATGAAATACGGTGTTACCATGTTATTATAACCTATCAACTATGGACAGATCTGTCTACCAAACACTGGACAAAATCAACATTTTGAAAAAAATGTACTTTTAGCATGATCTAAAGTAAAGATCTGCAACAAGAATGGATTAGATGTGGTCCACACTGGCCAATAACACCTTTATATTCCGTTGAGGCCTAAAAATCATTTGTTTTGTTGTGAATGATAATGGGAAGGAAAGTTAACCGTTTCCAGAAAAATGTTCACACTGCAAAAGTAAAATATGTATTAAGCTCACTGCAGGAAACAGAGGAGATAAACCTTGTTGTCACTCAGTACCAAAAACAGATTGGGAAATTCCTTTCTTTTGGCTTGTTCTCTGTTCCAGTGAGTTGTGCTCATTTTCTAAACGTTAGCTCTGTCAAAGTATTGAGGTTTTATCTCTTATAGTTTCTCTCATGTTTGTTGTTATATTTGTGCCTTTGAAATCCTGGAGGCAGCAGTGAAGCGGTTGTATCCACCTGTTCCATTTCTGCTTCATGCTGTTTCTGGGGTTTGCAGCCCATGTCGTCCACACCGAGATCAGTAAACACAGGGTTTGCCTTTCACTCTATCATCTTTACTACAAAAGAAATAACAAACTAAAAAATTAACTATACCAGATCATTTTCAACCTTTTCTTCGATGTTTTGTTGTTGCTGCTTATAAAGCTAAAATACCTTAAAAACAGTTTTACTATTTGTTGAAATCAGTATCAGGAACAAATGGTGTTTTTTATGGCTTACAGCCTGGTATTAGTCATGAGTATGTATAAACCATCATTTAATATTGACTAGAGAAGGAGCCTGCAGTGCTTTCATAGCTCTTTGTTCTTTACTCTTACATAGTAATATTGTGACTATGTGTAATGTTCACTTGTTTGCACTGATCTTTATGTGCCGTTGCCGAAAATAACAGCTTCAAAATTTTAAAGCCAGGCAAGGCAGAGTGGGGAAAACACCTTTTTTCTCCTCTGCATACATATATTATCACTGAAGGAATTCAGAGCAACTCTTTTAATCAAAGCTGCTGTTAACTGAGGGTTGAATTAGGGTAGGTAAAGCCTGGAGGTGTTAGATGTGGGTTGAGAGGGCAAACCTACTTAAAGGAGATAACAATCAACATCTAATATTAAAGTATTTACTAAAAGAACGGATGTTTTCAATGAATTTCTTGGCTAATTAAGGTTTGTTTGTGGCATCCAGCTCTCTGTTATTTATTTTTTTCATTCTTTGTATGTTTCAATATGTTGTTTTTGCGTTTTATTCTCTTTTAGGTATGACTACAGAGAGATGCTGTACAATTCCACCTTCTGTCTGGTTCCTCGGGGTCGAAGGCTGGGCTCCTTTCGTTTCTTAGAGGCTTTGCAGGTCAGTGACTCATCCACATCCTGCTGTTCACTATGAGGCAGAGTTTTTCTTTTGCAGAGTAAGCATCTGAAGGTTATTTTCCTTTGTTTCCTTTCCTGAAAATATTGCAGCTTCAAGAAAGGAAAATGTTTCAGAAACATGCATAGGCCATCATTAATTACCAGTATTTGCATGTTTGTAAAATGGAATAAAAAGAAAAAAACAGATAAGCAATAGCTAGTTTTCATGCTACTTTTTATTGGCTATTTAAATGGTGTACAGTTTTAATACAAAGCTAGGAAATAAATCTAAATTAATATTTGCACAGTCTAATATTAAGACTTTTACATTTTTTACAGATTTACCACTTATGAATCAGCACAAACATGTAATGCAAATATTGGTTTAACTAGCCATTCAATGACACACAGCTGTTGGCGTTACACACTATCACTTGAAAAACATTAATGTTTGCAGCTCACCATTGTATTTGTAGTTTTTTTGTGGCCAGAACTATTTTTCAATATTTCTGAATTTGACTGACTATGCTGTAAGCAAATCTTTTTTTTTCGGGCGTTACCAACAGGATGCAGCTACTAGTGGGGGAGGGGCAGCACTACTTTGTAGCAGTAACCTACCTATACCCTCTAACGTCAATAAGTGGTCAGTGTGATTATAATAATGACCCAAATCAAAACACCCAAATCAAATAAAAGCTAAATTTTTTTGGTGTTTGATTAGGAAAAATTGACGGAGAATATAAATGTTTCAGTGGTTAAACAAAAAAAAAGCAGTTTGTCTAGAGATAAAGCCATGAACCAGTCTGGTTAGTCTGAATAAAATAAGCACTGATTAAAGCTTGGGTTATGCATTTTGGGTTTTCTATGATATGGACCTAGGAGCATTCTTAACTACGTGGACGAATCTGCGCAGAAAATATGGTAAGCAGGCAGCAGCTCCTGTTATATAAACATCTGGAGACATCCTGTGATTTAACCTATAAATATAACCACTATTAACACATTCCTGGAAGGAAATTACTTTCTGAGGCTTTTATAAAGTTGTGAATGGCTTTTTTTACCACTTCCTCGTGTCGTGTTCCCGGCTTGCTCTTTGTGCTGATCTCAGCTCCCCTCCAGCTGAGACTCCGCTCTGTCGCTGACCACTTCACAGCATTGGTGCTTTCTTTGTGGGTAGAACCAAAGTAAGCTGCTGTTTTCAAAAATCGATGGTCTCTAGAAGCTGATTCGAAAGTTTGGCATAGAGAATAATCCAGCAGAAGTCTTGTGATCGCCTGTGCTTTTGTCGTGAAATGCCGACAGTGAGACCTTGACAGGAAATGCTTTGGGTCTGACGAGGGGTCAGGGAAGCTGATGAAGTACTAAATACTGTTAAACAGTCATTCCAGTACTAATATCTGTTGGGATGGTGACATCATCAGTGGAAAGTAAGAAGTTATTTTATCTTAAAAACCAAATCGGCACAAACAACAGTTTACCTGCACCAATCAGGTAACTCTGAAAAGGTAGATAACTTCGGAGCCTAATGGAGGTTTCGGTTGACCTCTGCAAAAAAAAAAAAAAAGTAGATTTATTTTTGGTTTGATTGTTTTTTTTACAAATGATTCTTTTTAACTACTCAAACCTGCACTAATCAGTCTATTTGCTGAGTTTTTCCACGTTGGTCGGGTGTGAGCTTCACACAGCTGAAGCTCCTGTTATTTGATGACGCGGTCTGGGATGTGAGCACTCTATCTCAGATCCAGAGCGGTCAACTCCCCACAGCGCTCACGGAAATCCCCACAGACATCATGCTTGGTCTGAACTCATCCTAACACTGTTATTTTTATTATTATGCCTCCAGTATTGCTTCCTTCTCTGCTTATCACTCTGTGTCCTCGATGCTCACCCTGTAATCAAGTCTCTCTTCCTGGTTCTTCACCACCTACTAAGATCTTCTTTCTCCCTCCTTTTATTCATGTGTCTTAAACTTGTGGGAAGTGCAATATGCCCCGGTAAATATAACGATAAGAAATATATAATGAAAATGGGAGCTCTGCTGATGTTTTTATGCCTCTTTTATAAGGACAGCATTCCCAGACCATCAATATCGCATCGCTCTCCACCACAGCAGTGTTTGCATTCCTCCAAATATTAAAGCATCCCGGTAAACCTCCAAAGAATTGAACAATATTACATGGTTTTCTCCAATGACCGTGAAAGGCTTCTCCTGCAGCTCTACGCTTCTACTCCTGTTCTGGCTAGTATAACTGATGTTTTCATTTTTTATTTCTATTCTATAAAATTTACTAAACTGTAAAACATGCAGGTGTTTTCTGGATAAAAAGCTCCATGAAACAATGGATGGTCGGTTTAAATTCAATGTGGAATTAAAATGTAAAAAATGATGTTAAATAATTTTGGTGTCCCTATACAGCTTCTTTATTTCAGATATAATAGCAGCACGGATCATTACCTGAGGAAGGAGACTTAACATGATTTTGACCTTTCACAATTAAATCTCCCTCTAAATCATGATTATTTTTTCACTTAAATATCTATCAGCCCTGAGAAAAATGTTCTTCTCCTTTCAGCTTTTCCATCATGACCCAAGTGAAACTCCTGTTAATCATTGTTCTTAGAGATTGGAAGGCTCTCTTTATTTCACACCATGAGCGCAGTGAGAGCTAATGTAGAAATCCACATAATAAGCAGTTTCACTTGAGTGAGTTTTATATTATTTGCCATTCTCTGCACTTTCACAGTGAGAGAAGATCAGGGTTTCTCTGTTATCAACTAGAAATGAAAAGCAAGCAATCAAAGTACTTCTTAGCTAAATTTAGCTTCAGTTGACGCCTGATTCCTCTCAAACTATATTCAGATTTCTCTATCAAATGTAAACTATGGCTTTAAAAGAAAATCACTGACTGGTTTAGGATGTTTCCAGTCATCAAAATTAGTGATTATTTTTATGCTGCAATAAGCAAACCTTCCAAGTAATAAATTATATATGGATGGATGGATGCTGTTTATTTAATTTAATGCTAGCCAATTAAACATTTAAGGAAGCTCAGCTGGTTGCATTAATTCAGACTTGAAGCAATCCATCCTCCGTGCTAAGATGTGGGATAAGTGCAGAGGAACCGATCCAGATCTACTGTACCGCAACAAGCTGGGTTATGAGAGGACAGGAAGGAGGCACAGAAGCATTAGATGATGAGTAGACAGAATGAATGGCTGCAGTAACTCTGCTAGTGGCTTCATCTTGGAGAGAAACTGTAAATAAGGATGAACCAATGGGTCAGATCACAGAAAATCTGATTAGAAACATGCAAATGAAGGCGATCTACACTGCTTTAACTTTTCAGTGCATTTGTCTGAAGCCTAAGCTGTGGTCTGCCTTTTGTCCCTTCAGGTGACTGTTCTGTTCCCCGAAGAAATCTGACCAGTGAGTCTGATAGCTATGTCCAGGAAAAAAACAATAACAAAAAACATGGTCAAAATACGAACTCACTTTAATTAATGATGGAATAAAAAAGATGGGAAATGGCTATCATCACAATGTTTTTCTGGGCATAACTGCTACAACCACATTATAAATGTAATTGATTATTATTAGAAACAACGGTTTATCTAACAGTGTGACAAAAAAATAAAGATTATATATTAGAAATAATTTAGTCAGTTTTAGACAAACTTGACTTATAATGTTTCATCCAGATTGTTCTTAACTATGAATCTAGCTCAAATCTGATGTGAAATAGTTATTTTCTTGGTAAATATATGTCTGAAAAGATATTTATCTAATCTAATTCATATATACATACAATTAAAATGTCAAGGTTTATGTCAAAGAAGCAGGACACTGAAAATCATGTAATATTTCCATAAAATAACTAAGTTGGTGATCTTCAGATAACCCTGACCTTTGACCTCAGAGGAAAGCAGACAGCTGAATGGAACAGAATAATTAGTTTCTCAGGGAGTAAGAAAGGAGACAAGTTGAGATGCTGGACTGGATTAAGCAGTAAAAGAGAAATGGAGGATATCCTCTGTGTTGTATAACACACCTACAGACTATGGACCACAGGTACATGTGTTTCTATGGATTGGTTCTGTTGTAGTTAAGCCCTGCAGACATTAATACAGTTAAAAAATGTATTCCTATAGTGGATATAATGATGTTTTCAACTGGTTAGACAGGAGAGGGGAGAATATGTGCAGAGATGATTTGCAACATGCGGTAGATCAGCTGCCTTTAATCTGTGTTCTCTTGTATGTGCATACATCTAAAAGGGTCCCAAACTCAGATATCTGAATGGCTGCTCTGTGTATGAAATATTTTGATGAAGGATGGGATTGGACAACAGGATTTTGCAGCGCATTGCTCTATGAGAGCAGATAAGCAGGTAAAGCTTGGCTGCCTTTGAGCAGATTGCTACCTTTTACTAATGATACTATGCAGATTAGAGAAACGGAGGCAATCCAATGCAGGGAGGTTTGTGCCGCGACGGATGTTTGTACGTTCAATGACCAAAGCAGATTATAGAGCTCGTCACTGCTGGCAAGAAGCTGCCTTAACTGTCCCATCCACACCCACACACACACACAGCTGAATGAATCAGTTGTTAGAAACAAGGATGCAAACAGAGACACAGGCTGCAATATTATGAAACGACTTTTTTTTAGCTCAGATCTTCTACTGAACAAGTTCTCAAAATCAGTGTTCAGTTGTTGCAAATGTATGATTGAAGCTGGATGCACGGTAAAATGCTGCTGAGAAATTTCCTGTTGAAAATGAGACATTCTGTCTATGATAGATGCTGAAGCTGTGTTTGCTCTACTACATGCATCCTTTATGATGGATCTTATTAATGGTTAATACTGTTGTTGCAGGCAGCCTGTGTGCCAGTGATGCTCAGCAACGGCTGGGAGCTTCCCTTCTCCGAAATCATCGACTGGAACACAGCAGCTGTCATTGGGGATGAGAGGCTGCTGTTACAGGTAGAAACATGGGGAAATACTGAAGTTTAAAAATTTTCTTAGGTTTGGTTGCTTTGTCTCAGTTCTTTTAGGATCTTTAGAAATACTCTGCTTTAATTAGTTATCTTATTGCACTATAATTATCTAGTTTGAATGCTTCTTTCTAATGCTTCTGTGATGAGATGTCATTACTTGTATAAGGAAGAGAGAAAAGAATCACTCTTAAACACGACTTCCTTCGTTGACTTTGACTCAGATGCTAAGATCCGATGATCAAAGCTCTAACTTTTCAGTTGGGCACAAATGGCATAAACTGTTCCTAATTGGTGTCCTTCATTACACTCATTTCAGCAGCCTAAACAAACAATGAATGGAAACCTTATTGGATAAAATAGTGCCCATGTCTAGTAATAATTGGGCCTTCCTTTTATCTGTTTAAGTCCAGCCTTACTTCTTTTTTTTTTGTTAAGGTAGCTTCTTGAACAAAGTACAGACATTTTTCTTAGAGATTTCATTTTCGCAGCAGGCCGGTAAAATGACTACTATTTTTACATCCTGGTTTTTAAATGTAAACTGCATTTTTTTCAATGTTACTTTTTAATTAATTAATTGTTTTACACATTGTAAAGCTTTCCTTTGTTGTTATTTTTTTAATGCCATCAGCAGGCTTGTTGATTTGGCTAATTGTTTAATCGTTTTCTGCGTTGTTCTGTTCTGATCCAGATCCCTTCAACAGTTCGGTCCATCCACCAGGATAAAATTCTGTCTTTGAGGCAGCAGACGCAGCTGCTGTGGGAGGCTTACTTCAACTCTGTAGAGAAGATAGTACTGACCACGCTGGAGGTACATGCATACAACACCATGTCATCTGTTTGTTTCTCTGAAAAGGAGTACATTTGCATTATGCGCAAAATTTAACATTTTTATTAGAATTTAATAATTGGGGAAAATACTTTTTTGTTATTGAGGGAAAATGAAGTAAAAAGCTTTTATTCTTTGTTTCTACACCACACTGACACCTATGCCTACATCCCAACCTTTCTTTACTGACATACAGCTGTGAACTGTGTCGCTTCAGATGTAAATATGAAAAAAGGCCTCCATCAGATGGAGGAAAGGTATCATTGTATCAGAGTCCTGTCAATATTTCCACGCTGCGTCGTGTTCTGGGTTGGCTATCAGTCATGTCAGTAGTTTGTTTCTGTCAGGCTCCATTTATCTGCTTTCTTCCTGGTGAGAACCGGACTATCATGCCGCTGCAGGGCTCGAATTACAAACAGCTGAAGAGGAAAGCAGGGAAGAATAAAAACTGATAAGAGTGCGAGACGGCAGCCGAGGGAACGTCACTCTATACTGAGCTGTGGTGTCAGAATAGTTCATTGTCACTAAACTCCACAGACACTATCCCTGTTAGACCTTCATATGTTGGAGCAGCAGACCTTGAACTTTGAAGTGGCTGTTAAATTACCTGAAAGACAGCAGGAATAAATCAGCTGTTACATCTAAGCCCAAACTAGTTCTGGGTTAGACCATCAGCCTCCATCTTTAAATAGTTTTACTCTCCAAGAATTTGGAATCAAAGGCAATGATGTGCAGAGGCAGATTTTTCTGTAATAGCGGCATGAAGTTGCAGGACTAAGTAGCTTATCTGTGATCTGTTTACACTCCCTGTATCTCATCTTTTCTCTGCCAGCCATGTTTTGGCTTCAAGACTTTCCTTTTTTTTTTTTTTTTTCTTTTGGCCTACCATTATGTGATTCCAAATATTTTACTATAAACATGACAGAAGTATAACCACAAATCAGAAAACCCATACTGCTGCTTCCATAAAGTCACTGAAAGCTCTACATTTTTTATGAGGGTATCCTGTTACTTTGTTCTTGGACACATTTTTATCAACAAGGATTGGAGTTTATGCTTTAAATAAAATGATCCTTAGCATCTTTATTAATGGTTAATTTGAAGTAGTTGCGCCAGAAGAAGCTAATTAAACCTCAGAGCGTTTGTTTTCTAAAATATCTTTAATCAACTCTACATAGCTTTTCATTTTTAGTCATTCAATTTGATGCACCAGAGAAAACCAGCTAGATGATTAGTAAATCACAATTAAAAGATAAAAAATATTACTTCAAGATGTATTAAATTAATAAATGTATTTGACAGGGACAGTGCAATCCAGTCTAATAACAAACAGCGTTTGTTAATGATGAAATGCACAAAGGGTTTATGGCTAATGCTAATTTTCAACTCCTGTTCTATGTTGAAAATTTCTTCAGATTGAAATAAAAACCCACAGATTTAAGTCTTTCACACCCAAACAGACACAACTTTAGTAAAATACCCCATTTCGTATATATTTACTCATTCACTAAAACGTCCCTCTCTCACTCACACAGTGCTTTTTACAAAGGGGTTCAGCATTGGTTACTTTACTTTGAGGATATGGACTTTATTTCCTTTGGCAAAAACATTCCACAACTTTGCACCGTAGAACCTAAAATCTCTCTTAATATAATTTAAAAAAATGTAGATGCTAAGAAAATGTTAATCGAAACAACTATTCTATTTGTTGTTTTTTTTTTTTACTAAACATTTTGTTAGACGAAAATCAGCCGTAGTTATTGAATCAATGCGTTTTTTAAATCTTCCTCTCCTCTATGTCTGCAGATAATCCAGGACCGGGTGCTGGAGCACACCTCCAGAAGTAGCCTCATGTGGAATAGCCTTCCTGGGGGCCTCTTCACTCTGCCTCAGTACTCCACACATCTGGGAGACTTCCCCTTCTTCTACGCTAAGCTGGGTCAGTCAGTTTTTCTGCATCTAGTATCTGTAGTTCTGCTTATAACCAATAAACTCTGTGTTAGCACATTTTCACTTTTGACACAAACCCCAGAACACATGGAGGGCCAATCAGCAGAAACTGGCTGAAATATGAATCTAGGTGGAAATCAGTGGCCACAACCCAAAGAAAGCATTGAACTGGTCTAGAAATATAGGTTTTCCAGGGTAGATTTTAAATAATAGATGCTCATTTTAGTAACCTCAAATCTTCATAACTTGAGGCACTTCTCATGTTCATATCTGAGTGCTTCCATGTAAAGTTGATTGTGACTAGGGTTATTTTCATACTTCAATGGTCCCTCGCTCCTTTGAACCGATTCTTCTTTGAGCTTCATGTTCTGTTGACGTCTTAGCGGCAGCAACCAGAGACTTGGCCTAGATACACCTTGAAGCAATTTTGTTCATTCTCGAACCAAGTATTAATAAGAGACTGAACTGATTACACTAAATAAAATCAACAAAAACATATTTCAGTGTCATGACTCTAGCCAAATAGATTTTTCCTTATTTGCTTGCATAGCTTACTGTAGTTACAACTCTGTTGGTATGTTTAAAGATAAGCACATTAAAAGCTGCTAAGCCCCTTTAATAGTCTTACTTTAACCATGTGAGTTTGGGTTAACATGGACGGGAACTCCGTCTCTGTTGTAAAGCAGAACACATGGTAACAAATGGTGTCGTGTTCCCCGTCCCCGCAGGTATCAAGCCGTACCCAAAGTTTACAGCAATCATCCATGTGGTCACCCCGCTGGTCTCTCTGTCCCAGCCAGTGATGAAGCTGCTTGTGGCTGTGGCTAAATCCCAGTACTGTGCTCAGGTAAGGTCAGCTCTGGCTTTCTGATTTAAAGATCTCATTAAAAAAGGATCTTGTTGATGAAAGAGAGTCAAGAGAAGTCTGCTATTATATTAGGAAGCATCTCTCTGCTATGTTTGTAAAAAACAAGTGTGAATGAGCTGTGGTTAAACTCTAAAACCTCACTCAGTTAAAGACTTCCCAGTCTTTAACTGATTTCTGCTATTTCTCCAGCATCAGGAATTCAGGTTACTTTGCTTCAGCTCTAGGTTGGTGAGGCTTCAGAACATTTCCAGCTTCCCTTTGTTCTGGATGGTTTGACAGTTCTTAAAATAGAAATGTAGGTTCAGGTAGAAGTTAGTTCTGCCTTATTGGCAACAGGGTTGAAGTAATGGTTTGGATTGAACATCTATGTTAAGTAACATGCAAATTAAGGTGGTTTACGCTGCTCTTCCTTTTCAGGGCATTTGCATGATGACTAAGCTGTGATCCGTGTTTTTTTCCCCCATTCAGGTGATCGTTCTTTGGAACTGTGACAAGCCTCTTCCTGCCAAGCACCGCTGGCCCACAATCTCAGTCCCTTTTATTGTCATAGAGGGAGAAAGCATGGTAAAACTGCTAATAATCCTCTTCCTCTGTGTCCATCACTGCAGCGTTTTAGCAGTTTCTCTAGGAAATGTTTTTTTCTGGTCTGTTTAAGCATGTTTGACGTAATCCATCTCTGGGGTAGCTTTAGTCAGGTACATGTGTAAATCCACAAATAATGATCACACAATTTTTCTGTAGAGCACATGTCAACTGTTAGAATTTAATAGGAAGTATTGATTAGGTAATTATTTGACAACTGAAGCCTGCATGCTTCCAGCCATCAAAACTGGGCTTAATGAAGGTTGTAGGAGCAGATTATGAATTTCTGTATTCCAAGTGGTTTGGGTCACATGATCTGTCAGCTGTCTATATATGTATGATCAGGTGTTGATGAGGACAGGTGTGTTCCACCCAAAAGGGGGAAACAGTTTTTGACCACTACGCAATACTAACGTGACGCAATGCTACCGCTATTGAAGTGAAAGCTATGTGGATCCCTGAAACTATGTATACAGTGTTATTGTCAACAAGTTAAAGATATGATAATTATTGCAGAGTCATGGAAATAAATGGATTTCCTGCACTAACATCAAGGACGGCTCTCATTTCAATTTAGCAGCTAAGTAATCGGTGTGTCAACTTTACCCCGGTGTACCACCTCAGGGGCTTAAAGCTTTGGCTTAGCCTCTACAAAGGTCCTAAAAAGACCATAAAGTTCCTCTTTTAGATATTGTTAATTAAATTATGATATTTTCATTTCATGATGTCTGAAAAAGTACCAAATGAAAACACTGGAAAAGAGTCAGTTGTTTAACTGGTAATGAATTTTAGAACAGATAAGGAGGGCATAACCATTAGAAGCCACCTGTATGATAACTGCTATATTCTTTGATTGCTGCAATGCAAAAATCAAGGTTTTGTTGTTGATAACTGAGGAAAAACTGAGATGATTATTATTGTAACTTTATTAATTTTGCTTTATCTTTTTTTAAACACGCATTTCTGACTTTAAATCTAAATTTGTCAGCTGTCTGAGGACCTTTGGACTGAGCTGTAGATGAACAGATAATGATTTAGTTTAAATCAACATATTACATTAAATCAGCTTATTTGATGAAGACCCTGCTGACTGGTGGAATGGTCAAACATCTCCTTTATAGGCAGCAGCCTTGTACAGCATTATAGAAGTAATATTTGAATAACAAGGTTGTGCCAAATGTCAAAAGCAGGAAGAAGCCATATTTTTACCACTACCTTGTATTTTATTTTCCCTCAGTGAACAGCATTACTCAGCTCTTGTAAAACTGTTTCCCTGCAACTGAAACCAAAATTTATTTGAAGCTTCTTTGCATATCTTTTAATAGGGGTGTGAATAAATCATTCTGCAGCTGAAAGAAAATAATGAAACGGTTTACCAACTCTGCAGCCTTCACGTGCTTCCCTTTTTTGTTTGTTTTCTAACTCTGACCAGGTTATAAGCAGCCGCTTCCTTCCCTACGATACCATCCCCACTGATGCTGTGCTCAGTCTGGATGAAGACACGGTGCTTTCCACCACAGAGGTTAGTCTAGATGTTGAGAAATCTATGGATTCCTTCATAGCTGTAGTCTTACACCGTACATAAATGTGATCTGGACATAGGTGGACTTTGCCTTCACGGTGTGGCAGAGCTTCCCTGACCGCATCGTCGGCTACCCGGCCCGCAGCCACTTCTGGGACGGCAGCAAGGAGCGCTGGGGCTACACCTCCAAATGGACCAATGACTACTCCATGGTGCTGACCGGAGCCGCCATCTATCACAAGTACGGCCTGCTTTGTTTTTCTTTTCCGCCGATGCTGGTTGGACTGTCCCTGCCTCCTAAACGCTCCATTGTTCTCTGTGTCACACCTCTCCCACAGATATTACCACTACTTGTACACCACCTACCTTCCAGCCAGTCTGCGGACAATGGTGGACCAGATGTCCAACTGCGAAGACATTCTTATGAATTTCCTTGTTTCAGCAGTGACTAAGCTACCACCCATTAAGGTCACACAAAAGAAACAATACAAGGAAACCATGATGGGCCAGGTGAGGCACACGATTTAGCTGGGATTGGTGTTTATATGAAGCAGGCAGGAGAAATGAGGCGGATTTATTTGGATCTACCCATTCAGGCATTACTAATAGTGCTGTCTGCTGTAGAGGCGTACAGCTATCTGGCACATTAGACTAAATGCCAAATGGTGTTTGGGTTCAGCAGAATAAGGACAGTGGGGTTATTTGTAAATTGCAAGCGAAATCTGTTTGCCGCTAACATGGCCTGGTTGATGCTTTGCTGTAAAAGGTCACAGTAATGGACAATACATTATTCATTTAGTTGTTTTCTTCCTCTCTACTCTGCCGAACTCACTTGTTTACTCCGTCTCTTTTCTTCTCCCCCCCGATCTGCTCTCTCTCTCTCATCCCAGAGCTCCAGAGCGTCCCGCTGGGCCGACCCGGACCATTTCGCTCAGCGTCAGACCTGCATGAACAAGTTTGCCAACTGGTTTGGCACCATGCCTCTGGTCCACTCGCAGATGAGGTTGGACCCGGTCCTGTTCAAAGACCAGGTGTCGATACTGAGGAAGAAGTACAGGGAAATCGAGAGGCTATAGCCGTGCTGAGCCCCCTGTGCTCTGTGGACACAACGGCTGTGGAGCGAGTCGGGGGCTGACCGTACGGCATCATGGATGGATCTGTGGGTGAGAGGTGAAGACACTGAAGCAAACATGAAGGACCTATTTTTCTGTCTCCTCGGGTTCTCCTCTCCACTCCTGCTGTCTTGTGGACCGATGCTGGACAGCAGTGCTCTCTGTGGATCCATCCTGACTGCACCTGAACAGTTAAATCAGCTCACGCCATCAGAAATGATTGCTTTGCTGCAAAAATGTCCCAACGTCAACAAAACCCACTGGACGGGACACTTCTCTGTCTGTACACTATGCACAGATCTGTGAACATTTTTGCTGACACGATATTAATAACTACGAAGATGATAACACTATTTTGGATTGTGTTTAACTATTTTTTTATACTGTGTACAAATGGCCAGCATGACTCTGTGTCTCTCTATTGTCTTAAAGAAGGAGGGATAAAGAAAATCCCCTCGGAGCCCCAGAGCTGGGTGGTGATTGTTGATCTGACAGTGCCTCAGCATTTATCAAAAGGTGTTTGGTTCTGAGATTCTGACAAATAGAAGACTGGGGGCAGATTCTGCCCCTTGATAGCGCTGCTTTTTTTTTGTCTTTTATCATTATCTGTTTTTTTTCCCATGTAACTGATAATATGCTGCATTTCCCAGTTCAGCACAGAGAGATAAGAATGTTTCAATGCAGTCGAACAAACACAATTGTCTGTGTGCCATTCTGAACAACTCCTCCCCTAAAGCCAACATGCTCAGATAAACATGTTGATTGATGCCCCTCGGCAATGCAGTAAGGTTGTTTCATTTCTGTTCTCTTCATTCCTAATGACTCAAATTAAATAACGGAACTGGTTAGAAACATGTTAGCCTGAGTAATATGTAAGCCTTCATGTGTTTTGCCTTGAAAGGAGGCTGAGCTTACTAACCAGACAAAATTGGGGCTTCTTGAATCAAATCCACTGTGAAATCTATTGAACTTTTTCTTTTTTTTTTTGGTTAGGGTTAGCGACAGATCTTAGTTTTTCGTCATTGTCTGAATGCAGTAAACCCAGTTTCCATTTGCCAAGTGACAGATCTGGCTGTTGCTAAAGGAACAAGCACCTAACATGGGGAATCAGCTTCTGCAGGCTGTTCACCAGCTTCAGGTGAATAAAAGAGGCTTCTGTTTTTAGTTTTGATAAGATGAATGAAGAGCTTCTGTAGTTTTTTAGCTACATTTGGGTCGCACTACAGAGCCAGCTTGTTGGACCTAAAGCTATCCACAGAGGCTTCTGCCAAACGTTGGGGGGAGATGGAGTTGTTTTTATGCTGCTGGTTTATTAGGTTAACTCAATTATAATCAGTTCACTTAACGGTCTTGTTCTGTATCTTTTTCTTTAAAATTTCATATCATTATCAGAGATCTAACTGCTGAGGTTTAATCAGGAGCTGTCGACGTGAAGCAGGAACTGGGATCTACCAGCAGCTCCTCCAACTCCTCCTGTCCGATGAAGGAGATGGTTGCTTTAGTGAGCTCATTCACTGACCCCCTTTATGTGCCATTTGTTTCCATCTTCCCATCTGCAGTAGGGAATGTCATACCTTCCCTTCTTCGTTATGTTTTTTCTTGCTGGAATTTGAGCGAAAACGAAGGAAAATATTTTTTTTTTTTTATGTTTGCTCCACAGAGGAGAGTGCTTTGTCACTGCCCTCTGAGAAAGTCATCAGCTGAGTAAACGGGACAATGGAATCAGATCTGTTTTAAAAATGAATATGTGCAATATTTTCTTTTCCTGTGTGTTGATGTTTCAGAGGATGATGGTTATAGATCAATGTGCCTTCAGGGGAAAAAAAAAAGTACACTTCAGATTTTTATTTTTCATCAGAACATGGTCCTATTATCATTCTTTGGTTGCTTTCTGTTAGCCAATGGTTCTTTTAATGATTCAACACTATCATCTTGATTTACAGTCAAACATTTTTAAATGCTGTCTCTGGTTTCCCTTTTTTTCTGGAAGGTTTGTTGTGGTCTCGTTTCACCCATCTCCACTTACTGCCTTGTGTTAGGTTGTGAAGTTCCACCCCCTCCTTTGTGTTTGCCACAGCTGTAGTACTTTTACGGATTTGTCTCAGACACATCTGACAGGATTGTCTCTAAAATGAACCTGCCTGCTTCTATCACTCTCTTCAGCACCGCCACACCTTTGTTTTGTTCAGATGGAAAGATGGTGAAAGAAATCATGGTTTTGTTAATTAATTTTATAAAACAAATTGAAACAATCGTCAAATAAAAATATTTGGTATAAACGAACCTGTTCTGCAATTCTAATTTCTTTTTCTTTTTTTTCTTTTTTTACAGTGAATTGGGGACTAAGTGTCTGTTATTTACCAGGCCTTACCAAATTAAAGTGCAGCCTCATATATTAAGATTTATGATAGTGACGGGAAGTACAGCATTGTTCTGCTGTAGGAGAATGGTTTAGGAGCATTTTTTTTTTTGAAAGGATAGTTAAGTTTTTTTTTTTTTTAGATGTGTGGAAAACAGATTGGATAAGATAAATGTATTAAAAAAATATATATTTATACTAGATATACACTAGTTTTTTTTCTGATCCAATTCAAAACGGATACCTGGGCTCAGCTTATTGGCCGATATCGATTCGATTCAACTGTTAAATGAATGAACCATATATCTTGCCTTGTGAGTGAAGGCTTTAGCCTTGCCATTATTGTTTAAAAAGGTAACAATATGGACATAAATGAACTTTATAACATTTATTAGCAAATAAACAACCGAAATAACAGCTCCATGTAAAGTGCACAGGATTTGATCTCTGAAATCCGATCCAGGTATCTTATCACTGCATCTCTTATACATATTTGTCCAATTTTACATATCAATTGGCTGCAGAAACCACGCAAGTAAAAAATCAACTTAAGACCTCAGAGATTTCCTTCGATCTGATGAGTGGACACGCCATGCAGAGTAAACACTGCTATCATCCTCATCCTTGACTGGCAGGCTGGGCAAGGAGAACATCAGAGAAGCAGCCAAGAAGCTAATAGTAACTTAGGAGGAGCCACAGGGTTTCAGAACTGGGGTTGATAGATTGACCAGGTTAACTTTTAGTCGACCTAAAAACAAATCCTGCTTGGATAAGAAAGCTCTAAGAAGTCCAGCTTGCTGTTCAGAACTCGGCATATATGGGAACGAAAACTGTGGTCGTGTGAGCTTTTTGACAAACACGGAAAACTGCATTTTGTGGAAAGTTGACACTAATTGCTATTGACACATCTCACATAATGAAAGATGGCAGCATTGTTCTGTTAGGATGCTTCCCTCTGCAGGGAAAGATAAATCAGTTAATGGGGAGATTATTGGAGCTAAATACATGACAATCCTGGGGAGGGAAATCATTTTAAGCTTGAAACAGGTGATTGTTCCAACAGGATGAGGACCCTAAATATACTGCCAAAGTTTTCAGTCAAAATGTGTTTAAAAACCTGTGTAAGATTAAAAAAAACATTTCTGTTCACTGACACGCCCTCCTGGTGGCGGCACTTTAAACGTCTTCTGTAGAACGCTGAACAGATATTTTAATCCTTGGAAATCCAAGGCTGTTAAAATAAAAAAAACAGTGAAAAATGTGGATTTGAATACAGAGGCAGGTTTTGATTGAACATTTTTTATGCATTACTACTTTTTGTTGAATAAAATGCAGTGACAGAATGTGGATAGGTTTTAAAGACAAATAGTTTTGCAAAAAGCTTAAGCTGCTGCAGAATCAACATATTGCATATGGCTAGATACTGCCTGTTCCCTTTCTAAGCTGCAGGCAACCTTTTTTTCAGTTATTCCAAAAATGATATTCTTATATATATGCACGGCACCCACTGAGCAAGATGCAAGCTAAGTAATACTTTTAGCCTCCTTTTTGTATGAACTTCAGCCTATGCAGGGGATCTGCCGTCTTTACATAATTCTCTGTCAGGTTGATTGGTTTCGACACGCTGCATGAATAACAGCATCTACATAGGATGATCCCGTGGTGCAAACTCAGCTGGAGGAAACACTACAGGAGGAATTGCTGCAGCTAGAAGAAACACACAGGAAGCCACCTAACTGAGAAAAAAATCTTTCCTAATAAATTTGTAAGAATTTCCAAGCGGGATCGACTAGTTTCATGTTGAAAGTAGACAGAATCTGGTCCATTTCACAGAAAAAGTCGTTTTAGATGGAAGGTTAATGGAAATGTAATTCTTTGATAAACCAATCTGCCACAAGTCAGATATTGCAGAGTTTCATTGGACCCTAAGGGCTTATCTCTTTACAATCTGTCCTGATTAAATAGAATGCAAATGAGCTAATCCCATTGATGAGATGTGTATCTGCTGTGGAGATGGATCAGCGCATGCACACTGTCAGGACTCTCCCCTGCTGTCAGATTAAACTCTCTGACTCAGGGGGGGTTTAAACTTGAGAACACCCTCTCTCCCTTTCTGTCATCGTCTTTATCAGATATCATCACAGCATATAAAGTGAATTTTTTTTTAAGATAAACTTCAGCTTTGGGGGAGAACTTTGTTGTGCTTTAGCAACTCCACGCCGCATTGATCCGTATCAAAAAGCTGTTTTCTTATTCCGTTGGAAATGTTTTCAGCATGGCGTCTCTCTTTTTTTGAATTAAACCTCACTTAAAACACTGCAGCAACAGACAGAATGCATGATCAGTTAGTCTAAAGCCACATATTGAGACACAGAGAGGTTTCTCACATTCTAACACTCATCAGAAAGAAACCTCCCTTGATACTTTCTCTCCACATCTTACAATGTTCCAGCCACATTCCTGAATGCATATTATCAAGATTTGGATGAGACAGACCAACGCTAAATGAAGTAGAAGAAAAAAGGATGCATCGAGTACCTGTGTGCGATTTAATCTCTGCGTGCATGCAGCTGTTCTGTGAAGGCCTCAGAAGATTGTCAGAGAACATTAGTGAACATGGTGTTTTTCTTCATACAGATGTGGAGATTATTACATATGTCTGCTTTGATATGTAGAGATAATCAGGCCTTCTGACTAACTGAGGCATGCCAAAGATTAGTCGCCTAAAGCAGGAATGCATCTGCAATGCACCGGCTGCTTCCTCTAAGGCTGTGTAATATTATCCTTTACATGATAACTGCAACTTGCTTTCAAGATAAAATCCCCCCGTTTAACAGATGGGAGAAAGAAAATGCTGCCAGCAACTAGATCTTGGCTAAACACAGGAGTCTATTAAAATAAATTGAAAAGCATACTGAGTAGTACATTAGACTTCTTAACCTAAGGAATGTGATTTAATACTTAGCTGTATGAGGTCTTTTTTTGGCAGCAGACAGTAATTCAGCCTTTATCAATATTGCATTATTCTCATAGGTAGTCATGATAAAATGTGTATGAAGAGTATTAAAGATGCATAAATAAGGATTTGATGCAGACACTGATGCATCTATTAATGCCTACTTTAAGTGTTATCTCACTAGGACATTTTTTTATGGTTCCACAGAAAATCCACTTGGTCCCTTTTAACACACACTCCATGATAGAACATGACTGCGAACATCTGGGGCTGCAGGGATGTTCACTGGAAATGACTTATTGTCTAAATCTGTCATATACTGATGTGTAAGAACCAAATTTACCATATTGCTACCTCATTATCTATCTTGCACAGTGACAACGAGCTCCGTGGCTCGTAAATTATAAACAAGCTCAACTGGCAGCAGTTGCACTGCAACAGATGCCCATGAGACAAATCCGCTTTTCTGTGTACCCATTTCGCAATTTGTTTGTAGATGAGTCACTCTGTCTGTCAGGCATATTTCTCATCTCTGTCTCTAATATAAAGCTGGGAAATTGCTTTTTGAGGCTTTTTGTTGCATGCATAGGCTGTGGTCACTTCACATTGATACTGTCTTAGAAAAAATACAGAATTTCTCTGTTAATTGCTACCAATTGTCATATATGGGGTTTTTATTAGCTTCTTGTTAAGGCTTTTTTGAATTTAATAACATTAAAAGGGAAACATAAGTGAAATACTTTATTTAAAAGGAAGCTTAAAGGGCCTTTGTCACTCAATTACTCATGTTTTGCCATTTGACATATCATGACCAAACTCTAAATTATGAAACTCAAAGCTGGAACTAGGAAATTCAGTAGGGCTATGTCATATTTTAGTAGCTAAATAAGTTCATAAAAATGTCCATACATACATGAATTAAAGAATACAAACAGATGTTAAACAATTTTTTCCATAATATAGTACATGCAAACCATTTCCAAAAAGAAAAATAATACTAGAATCTTTTTTTGTAATATAATTCAAAGGCCTGCGATAGATTGGTGGCCTGTCCAGGGTGTACCCCGCCTCTCGCCCATTGACAGCCGGAGATAGGCACAAGCCCCACCGTGACCCCGCTTGTTATAAGCATGTTGGAAAATGGATGGATGGATAATTCAAAGGCGTATTTGATTATTTAGATGTTTCTAATTTAGGTATATCGGGTTCATGTTATACATCACACCATGACTTTATGATAATAAGGCCTTTACCGCCAAAGTTAATAAACAAGAAAAAACGTCTTTAAACTGTATGATTGGTCTCCAGTTTACCAATCATTTGTTATGGTCTGTTTGATCTGACATGATCACATTTTAAATAGTTAAGAAAATGGACTTTAGCACAGGGATCTAAAAATAACCTAAATCTAAGTGATTATTATAAAGGTTAGCAGTAACTAGTTACATTTACAAGGTTACATTTACTTTAGTAGTATTTTGACAAAAACGATTGTTAGGAATAGTTGTCCTGTATGATTTTTTACCTTACAGAAACCATTAAACTAAAAATTTTATTATTTTCCTGTACACAGGCTTTTTTATGTTCCTGCTACCTGCAGATCCTTCTATGACAAAGGTTTCAATATAATATATTGTATAAGGTGTATATATTGGCAATGCAATTAGCTCACCTGGACTACTTTGCATTGAAAAAAAAAATTATTCTGAGAATTGTTTCTTCTGCCTGAGTTATTCATTTTCTTATTTTTTCCACTTGTGTATTAATTGTTCTATTGTGGTCTTTAAAACACCAGAATTTACACATATGTTTTTCATCTGACTGATAACTTTCTTTTTTATAGAGGATCACATCACTTACCACGTGTACCTAAATATATATTTCCCAACTATTTTTCACTCTTACTTGAGTAATTTATTGGACAATTATTGTTATTATTATTTTTTATTTATTTATTTAATTGAGAAAATATTAATATAGTGCAACTTCAGTATAATTTTTGGGCACTCTGGATACCTCTAATTGAATACAATGAACATATAACTCCTATCATTAATTTTAAAATGTATATATTTGATGCATTAATTACACATGGAAATGTTCAGCAATGTTTTGGATGATTTAAATAATGTATTACATTTATATTAAATTCTTAATTATTCATAAATGATAATACAACATATATTTATGTATTGTACCATTGCACTTTTATTTGATAAATCATTCACTTATTAAATAAAAAACAATTTACCATAAATATACTACTGTACATGATCAGTCATCGATATTGATTTTATAATATCAGACAGGTATTTGGTGGTTAAATACTACTACTATTCATATCAGAGCAATATATATAAAAAAAAGACATGGTTTATGCAGATTCTATTGTCATGTTATTCCTGCGGTAGGCTTTAGCGCCCCCTATCAGCCGTCGCCGCGCACAGCAGGAAGCCGTCTCTGACTCCTCCCCTCCGCCGTTTTTTGACTGTAAACATCCTGCCGATTTTAAAAGGACAGCGCTGAGCGGGAGGAAGGCGGCTGGCGCCATCTTGGCTGTTTTAATGAGTACAACAGGGGAGAGCTCGCTGGGAGAAATAACCTAATCTTTGTGATTTCACCCTTACCTCTTGGTAAGTGTGCCTGCAGCAGATATATTTAGGCACCGGTCTGGGTGTTTTAGGTCACCAAACCGGCATGCATGCTGGAGTTTGTTAGCTGCGGCCTTCGTTGTATGAAGAGCCGTTGGACATCTGCTAACGACAGCGTTGGGCTTATGAAGAAGAGCTGAAAAGTGTGAGCAACGAGCTGCGCTCTTTTCTGATAACCGCATAGTTTTATGGAGTTTGTAATTTTTAAAATAGCTGTAGGAAGGTCTCAGATAAAAGCATTTATTTCAAACTTCCAACGGCTGTATAATCAAGCTCGCGGCGTCGTTCCTCCTTTTGTAGTTAGCTGTCGGCTAAATTGGTTCGTCCCACTTGATGGCGCCGACTATTTACTGGTTTCCCCCTCCCTTTCGCGCTTTTTAGTAGTATTATATGATTCAGTTATTACAAAGTCACTTAAATTTATTTTCTGAGTTTATATGTCTGTCCTTCTGGTAAAATAAAAAGTTAGCGTTTGGTTCGTGGTAGAAAGTTTAATGTGCTTTAAGCCAGGTAAAAGTTCAAATTTGTGCCCCACTCGACTGAGAAAAATTCGGAACTTGATTCGACGTTTTTTGCCAAAGGTCCGTTTTTATAACCCTAACTTGATAAATTTTTGTTTAATATTATACTTTATTGGTTGGGAGGGGGGGGCATATGCAGACAGTGCACCTTTATCAAGTTATGAGCATATCTGTTTAAGAAAATGGCAGCGTTTTCCTCTATTTTTGAATTGAATGGTCGTTTCTGATAATAAACATTTAATAGAAATGATTACTACGTGTTGTAAACAATGTTAAGGCCAGAAATTAAGACTTTTCTAGTTTGTTGGAAAGCATAAATCTTGGACAAATGTGTTCCTAAATTAAGATTTAAATGTATAAAAAATGTGAATCGAAATCGGAGATTTTGCGATCGTTTCTTCTGCTGATATTAACCACGTGTTAGTCGATTATTTTACGTTTTTATTGGTAACTATGTAACTACCCAAACATGTTAGTCTTGTTTTAGAAAGTCAAGAACACATATGTCTGCCCTTTCCAGGTTATTTTGAGTGGCAGAAAAACGAGGAATTGTGTTCCTGGTTTAGGGCTGTGCGATATGGCAGAAAATATATTCTGATATAAGCTTTTCATATAATTACGTGTCAGTTTTTTGTTTTTTGAAGATAATATTAAAAAACTATTTGAAAAACAAACTGAAATGTTGGAATTGTAACCATACAGTCGTATGTTTACATATTTTTTTTCATCACAATGTTTTTATCACTGCTTGCTTATCTGCACTTTATGAATGAAATGAAATAGTCTAGAGAGCTGTACTTCTTAAGTTTAGCCATTATAAACAATGAAGGGGGTGGGGGTTCAATTTAATTAAATGCCATCCAACTATAACCTTTGGAAAAAAATCAGCCCTACAGCAGACCATTTTTAGCCTGGCTGTAATAGATTGAAGCTAAACCCTTTCCCCTGCCTTCATCTCCCAGAATGCAGTGTGCTAATGAAGCTGTGTCCATTTGAAGGGTCCAAATTTACATTTAACATATTTGCAGTGCATATTGTTATTGTTTTATTGCCAATGTTACCAGTAAGTGTAAATACCAATACTAATTATTTTTTAAATTATTTAAATGATTCTCAATGTGTGCTGCTGCTTTCTTCTTTTTTTTGTTGCTTTTCCATCCTCCATTAAGGCAAATGTTACTCAAGTCGCAGTTTTGGAAAAAAAATATATTTTTATGAACAAACAAAACAAATACATTGCAGAGCGAGGGAAGGCAATACATGCTCATTACTTGATGTCAAGGCATGGCTGCTGAATGCTATAATGAATAAGCCACCTATTTACCAATACAAGGAAAACACTATCTGTCTCTCAAATTTGAACCAGTTTAGGCTATTTCTTAGTTGAGCATATTTAGTGACAATGTTTTTCATTTTGAATGCATATGATGTGTGTGCTGTGGTTTAATTTCTTAAACCGGTATGCCTTAGAGACTTAGAGGCTGCAGTTAATTATCATCAAGGATCAAATTGAAGATTATTTCCATAATCAATTAATCTGATTAACTGTTTAAATGCTGGTTTGAGATGGTGAGTGTTTGGCACTATATGAATAAACTGAATTGACATTGGTTTGTTTCTATGTTTTAATTGTCTTGTCCAACTGAGCAATTTGGACAGTTATTGGGGAACTAACCTGGTAAATTATCTTTGCTTGGTATTGACGTTTTTTTTTTCCTACATGCATTTAATCTTTTTTTCCCCCAGGTAAATCACACCACAGTTGGCGTGCTTGAACCAGAGGAACCGGGGCAATGTTCTACGCCCACTTTGTCCTCAGCAAACGTGGGCCGCTGGCCAAGATCTGGCTGGCGGCCCACTGGGACAAAAAGCTGACCAAGGCCCATGTGTTTGAATGCAACTTGGAGAGCAGTGTGGAGAGCATCATCTCACCAAAGGTAAGAAGGCAAAGTTACAATCTTTGGTTCCCACTCTGCAAATCCCATGAATATTTTGGTTGACTGTTAAATCATTTTGAACAAATTGTTGATGAAAGGGGTTGTCTTGTATAGATTTTGAACCTCCTTATGGGAGTTTTATTCATTGGATCTTGTTGAAAAATGGTGTTTGCAGTTTAGCTGGGAGTTTCTATGTAAATGTATTAAGCTAAACTATTTTTTTTGGTCCTCATTGTCCAATGTTGCATTGTTTGTCTGATTCAGTTATGGAAATCCAGTTCTGTTCACAGTAACAGTTTCATCTTGTACAAAGATTTTTAATTTTCCAACTAATACTTGCTATTTTTCAGGTGAAGATGGCATTGCGAACCTCTGGTCACCTTCTCCTTGGAGTGGTGCGAATCTACCACAGAAAGGCCAAGTACCTGCTTGCTGACTGTAATGAAGCCTTCATCAAGATCAAAATGGCCTTCAGGCCCGGTAAGCCGTCCATCCATTGTCTGTTTTTGTTTTTTTTTTGCTGGCTGCCTTTCCTGTGGTCTCTTTATATTTTTGTTCTCCGTCGTTGTTGACCAAAGATCTTTGTGGTAAAGCCCTAACCACAGCTTTCTGTGTTTAGGTGTTGTGGATCTACCTGAGGAAAACAGGGAGGCTGCATATAATGCCATCACTCTTCCTGAAGAGTTCCATGACTTTGATCAGCCACTTCCTGATCTGGAGTAAGTTGATGTTCTTAGTGGTTTTTGGGTTAATAAAGCGCTCTGACCAGATAAAGCCTTTTTGAATTTTTAAACATCCTTTGTCAATAATTTATGCTGGATGGTCTAAAACCATTTTTACTATGATAAACTGTTGTTACAGTTTCAACTGTAGATGTTTTCTAATATTGACGGACATTTTGAAATTTGTTCTTTTGTTGATGATTGACCTGATTATTGTCTCTGATTTTTGCCAACAGTGACATCGATGTGGCTCAGCAGTTCACTTTGAACCAGAGCAGAGTAGAGGAGATCACCATGAGAGAAGATGTTGGAAACCTCAGCCTCATTCCCGATGACTTTGGTAGGGCACCAGTTCTTTGTCTCTCAGCTCCAGTCATCTGCTTTTCCTTGAGGGAATGGCTGCTATCAATTGATTTCTATAAGATATTTCAGGGGAATAAATAGGAATCGTACATTTTTCCCATGAATAATCTGTGCTCTGGGTGGTTGGAAAAAACTAATAACTCTTCCTGCTGTATCCCTCAGCCGACTTTGGGATGGATGACCGGGAGATGATGCGTGATGCGAGCACATTTGAAGATGATATAATGCAGGGAGCCACAGCCCCTAACCTGCTGCTGGAGGCCGAGCCGGGTCCAGCTAACCTCCCTGATAAATCCAACCATATGGAGTATGATGACTTTGGTGATGGCTCCATGGGCAACAGTGATGGTGGAATGCTTGGTGGGTTGTGTTTTTGTTTTTTTTTGTTTTTTTTGTTTTTTTTAAACGAATCCCAAATTTGAAGGTATTTTTGGTAAAACATGTCATGATGTTTTTTTTTTTTCTTTCCTCAGTTGACACGCTGCTGAGAGCTGAAGATGGAGGCGGCATCTTTGATGATCCTCCAGCAATCACAGAAAGTGTCATGATGCCCCCAGATCACGGCGACGATGAGGATGACTTTGACAACCTTCACTCTCGTAAGCAGACCTGGCTTGTTTTGTTCCCTGAGGACCACTAGTTTTTTTTTTATTTATTTTTTTATTTTAGTTCACACATTTAATATAAATTTAAATTTTTCTGTCAAGCTGGTCCAGACAGTCCTGATTCTGGCCCAGCTGAGCAGCTGCCAGCGATGACTGACCAACCAGAACAGACCACCCTGGTTCCTAATGAAGAGGAGGCTTTCGCCCTGGAGCCCATCGACATCACTGGTATGAATACTGTATACCTAAAAAAATATTTCTGTGTATCCTGAGTAACTAGTCAATTATTGGACATTTTCTGGTGGACTTTTATCAAAAATTATTACGCTACAATGTTTTTAACCAAACTGTTGTGATCTAATGACACTGAAGAAGTGCCATTCCTCCACTGGTTTGCTGGAGCATTTTTATTAATCAATTTTTTTGCAAAAAGTTGAGACTCATTATTCTTTGTTGAGATAAAAAGATTGTAATATTGTAATCTATTTTAAAATTTGTGAAAAAACCATATTTAGTCTGCAATTTGGCAGCCATTTTGTTTTGCAGGTCGGATTCCTGGTATATAATGCAGTTTATTGGTTTTGTGTGCAGCTCTTGTATCGATTTCATCTTAACACTGGAATAACTATTCAAATCTTCTATTTTAGTATTTAGTAGAGGATATCGACAAGTTGCTAATAAGAGAACATTTTCCAATGTGGTGTTTAAAACTTGACATAGAGACAGCAGCTTTAGTGACCTATAGAGCGTTCCTTTAATTCTGGCTAAAGAGGGACGTGAAGCCATTTCCAGCCATGCCCCCTGTTACAGTTCCACCTTCCAGTTAACTGTTAATTAATGGTAAGGGTTAGGGCTGAGACAACGAATCGGTAAAATTGATAAAAAATCGACTTTTAAAAGCGTTGGCAACGAATTTCATCATCGATTAGTTGTGTCGCGTGATTAATGCGTCATCCGCCGCCGCCGTCATCACATCCACTTGACTGAAACAGGGGAAGAAAAAAAAATACGGCAAAGTGAGCCAGCGCCGCAGGTGCAGTGTTGCCAACTCAGCGACTTTTCAGACCCCTCCAGCAACTATTTTTCAAAAAAAGCGACTAGCGACAAATCTGGCGACTTTTTACGGTGTCACTGGTGGCTTTTGGAGACCCTTACGTGAAAGCATGTATCGTTCCTACTGTGCCGTGGGGCGCCTCCCCCATCCCAACCCCTTTCTCCCGCAGGAGTCCCTCTCAGCGCTGCAGTCAGAGCCGCAGGATGTTTATCCTCAGCGTCCAGGCTGCAAATGAAGCGCGCATGTGCCGGGATTGAAGGCACAAATTGATCACAATAATTAAAATAGCCTGCGCTTTGTAAAGTGATAACATGCAACTTTTGTCAAAACAAATTAACATGGCACGGAACCACCATGTTTGTTTGGTTTTAAAGTGGGGAAACGTAACGTTAGTTTCTCAGGTAGTTCATCTGATGCTTTCCTTACCTTGTTAGTATATTACAGACAGTGATAAGGTTGGCTACTTATTTTACTTTTAATTTAATTTGAAGTAGCTTAAGCAGCGTTTATATTTACTTTATAAATAAATTAACTTGCTAATTATGAGGGCAAGGCTTTTAAAGTTTAAATCTTCTGGCAAAGATAAAGTAAAGAAGATCCTGCAATTTATGGAAGTAAAGCAGAATAAAATCCAGCAAGATCAGTAATATGTCAATTAATTATCTGCCACATTCCCATGTAAATATCTGTCTTTAGAGGATGTGTTTTTTACCACCCCTAGTTCTCTCATTTTTATTCCAAATACAATTTATAATTTGAATCACAGGGCTATTTTTATCTCTATGGTTCAGTATTTTCTCAAGTAGCAACTTTAACTGCTGTACTTTCCTGTCTTAAAAGGCAGAACTCTTCTAGTCTAAAAAAAACTCATTTGATGAAATGGGGGGGGCTATTGTTTGAACCCCTTAGGGGCTTTTAAAAACAAAAATGTCTTTTTTTGCACTTTATGAAACAAAGTACCCTATATTTTGTGGATGTACAGCTACATTTCTCATGTAAGTTTGGGTAGTTTTAACACAAACATTTATTTTTCATATTGCACCAGGACAGTTAATGAGCAACCTGTACTTGTGTGCTTGTTTGTTGTAAAATGTTTATTTTGGAATAAAGAGGTTAATATAAAAAATATTTTTTGTCCGATTCATCGATTAATTGAAAAAATAATCGGCCAATTCATCGATTTTTAAAATAATCGTTAGTTGCAGCCCTAGTTAGGGTGAGGTGATGCAATGAAGACGAGAGAAATAAAATGACAAGATGTTTACAGCTAGCTTTTGTTTCCGTCTGTTATTTATTATTATGGTACTTCCTTTTTGATATCCCGAATTACAGAAAAGGATGAATTGCTTATTACTTCATTATAAATTAAAGCATTGTTTTTCTTATTATTTAATTAACTTATTGTCTTTTAACCAAGATTTAACTGTGGTTTTTGAAGGCTGATAAACTATGAGGTGTCTAATGATCCATTTACCAATTTTTTTCTTTTAGTTATGATTCTCAAAAAATGAGCAGTCTTTTCACTTTGCATTGGATTTTCTTTCCAGTGAAAGAGACCAAGGCAAAACGTAAGAGGAAGCTGATTGTTGACAGTGTAAAGGAGTTGGACAGTAAGACCATCAGAGCCCAGCTGTCTGACTACTCTGATATCGTGACCACCCTGGATCTTGCTCCTCCTACTAAGAAGCTCATGATGTGGAAGGAAACGGGAGGAGTGGAGAAGCTTTTCTCTTTGCCTGCACAGCCCCTCTGGAACGCCCGGTTACTCAAGGTACTGAGGGAACTTCATAAATGATCCTAAGCTCTAATATATCACTGTGTGAAAGCATTCCGATATAATGAGTTGTCTTGCTAGAATCACATCCAGGCACTATTTTAAATGGTTTTTAAATGCAGTGGAGATGTCATTGTCAGAGTTGGTTTGAAATTATGTGAGTAGAGAAATGGACTTAAGCCCAGTTTTCATTAAGATTCTGTTCAGGTATAAGATTTAAAATGAGAGCAACCAGGGAACAGGAGATGAAGGAAGAGATTGGGTTTTGTCTCTTTTCTCCCTCTCCTTCTTCCACTTGGTCTGAATGCTAAGTAGAAAACGTGTGCATGCATAACTTAACATTTGTTTTTTGGATGAATTCATTTTCTTGCTTTTCTAACTTTAAGTTTGTAGCTACAGAAAAAAAACAGTCCCTTATCTGAGTTGTAATTCTCTGACAGATGTTCACACGCTGCCTGACACCTCTGGTGCCAGACGAGCTGAGGAAACGCAGAAAGGGCGGCGAGGCGGACAGTCTGGATGAGTTCCTCAAAGAGCTGGAGAACCCAGAGGTGCCAAGGGAGGAGATCATGACTCAGAACAGAGATGTCATTGGTATGTCATGATGGAGAATGTATTACAGTGATTTTTTTGTTGTTGTTTTTTTTTTGGGGGGGGGGGGTAGGTAATGCAGGTTGTTAACCATTTCTGATATGGTCTCTCTCACCAGACCAGACTATCATGGAGGAGCCAAGTATACTGGCAGCCTCTGCTATGGAAGGCAGCAGGACGGCTTTGGATGAAACAGTGATGCCTCCTCCATCCACCCCCCGTGGTGTAAAACGCAAGCAGCCCATGGACAAAGAGGGCCCCATCCCTGTAAGTACAAAGCCTGGGGCCCCTCCTCCTGCCTCTGGAGTTTATGTAAAGAGGGAATTGAGAGAAATGTTGTTAGAAATTACAATTTATGGTTATAGTTTCTTGTATTTACAGGTGCTGGTCATAAAATTAGAATATCATGAAAAAGTAGATTGATTTCAGTAATTCCATTTAAAAAGTGAAACTTGTATATTATATTCATACATTACATACAAACTCATATATTTCAGATGTTTATTTTGTTTAATTTTGATGATTACAAACGACAACAAATGAAAATCTCAAATTCATCATATCAGAAAATTAGAATATTGTGAAAAGGTTCAAAATTGATGGCCCCTGGTGCCACACTCTAATCAGCTAATTAACTCAAACCACCTGCAAAAGCCTTTAAATGGTCTTTCAGTCTAGTTCTATAGGCTGCACAATCATGGGGAAGACTGCTGACTTGACAGTTGTCCAAAAGACGACCATCGACACCTTGCACAAGGAGGGCAAGACACAAAAGGTCATCGCTAAAGAGGCTGGCTGTTCACAGAGCTCAGTGTCCAAGCACATTAATAGAGAGGCGAAGGGAAGGAAAAGATGTGGTCGAAAAAAGTGTACAAGCAAGAGAGATAACCGCACCCTGGAGAGGATTGTGAAACAAAACCCATTCAAAAATGTGGGGGAGATTCACAAAGAGTGGACTGCAGCTGGAGTGAGTGCTTCAAGAACCACCACACACAGACGTATGAAAGACATGGGTTTCTGCTGTCGCATTCCTTGTGTCAAGCCACTCTTGAACCACAGACAGCGTCAGAAGCGTCTTGCCTGGGCTAAAGAGAAACAGGACTGGACTGCTGGTGAGTGGTCCAAAGTCATGTTCTCTGATGAAAGTAAATTTTGCATTTCCTTTGGAAATCAAGGTCCCAGAGTCTGGAGGAAAAGAAGAGAGGCACTTCATCCACGTTGCTTGAAGTCCAGTGTAAAGTTTCCACAGTCAGTGATGGTTTGGGGTGCCATGTCATCTGCTGGTGTTGGTCCATTGTGTTTTCTGAGGTCCAGGGTCAACGCAGCCACATACCAGGAAGTTTTAGAGCACTTCATGCTTCCTGCAGCTGACCAACTTTTTGGAGATGCCGATTTCATTTTCCAACAGGACTTGGCACCTGCACACAGTGCCAAAGCTACCAGTACCTGGTTGAAGGACCATGGTATCCCTGTTCTTAATTGGCCAGCAAACTCTCCTGACCTTAACCCCATAGAAAATCTATGGGGTATTGTGAAGAAGAAGATGCAATACACCAGACCCAACAATTCAGAAGAGCTAAAAGCCACTATTAGAGCAACCTGGGCTATCATAACACCTGAGCAGTGCCACAGACTGATCGACTCCATGCCACGCCGCATTGCTGCAGTAATACAGGCCAAAGGAGGCCCAACTAAATACTGAGTGCTGTACATGCTCATACTTTTCATGTTCATACTTTTCAGTTGGCCAACATTTCTATAAATCCTTTGTTTTTATTGGTCTTCAGTAATATTCTAATTTTCTGATATGATGAATTTGGGATTTTCATTTGTTGTCATTTGTAATCATCAAAATTAAACAAAATAAACATCTGAAATATATGAGTTTGTATGTAATGTATGAATATAATATACAAGTTTCACTTTTTAAATGGAATTACTGAAATCAATCTACTTTTTCATGATATTCTAATTTTATGACCAGCACCTGTAAGTTAGTTTAGATGCAAATATCTATGGTTATCTTTACTGATCTGATATTAAACAGCATCATTTGAAATTAGAGATGAGAAATCAAATAAAGTGGACCGTCCTCTAAGTTCCTACTTGAACCTTTCTTGGTTGCTTTCCTCCCTCCTCCAGATGACTCCCCTGGAGCAGCAGCAGCAGGTGGCTGACCGCTCAGACTTGTCACAGAGGCTGGACATGCCTCAGGTTGATCTGCCTCCAGAGGAGACCACTGTCAACCTCACTCAGCTTGTCCCTGAGCTCGACCTTCTCACCGACAAGGAAAAGGATAAGAAGGATGACAGCGAAGAAGAGGAGGTGAGGGAAATCTAGATTTTCATGAAGGCTGCAAGTGGGGAAAAATATTTCCACACCATAATAGTATTTACAACAATGTTCCTGTTTTTGTTTTGTTAATTTTTTTTTTCTATCGTTTTTTGCTGCATAGAATAATGATCCTCTCTAGAGGTTCTGTTCTTTGACACGACACCAGCCGTCGATGTTAGCTGGTCGTTATTTAGATTGTTGGCTCTGCTAGTCAGCCAGTCAGCTGTGTGCTTATATGTGCTGCTCCTATAGAATAGAAAAAGTTTATTTGACAGGAAAACTACATTAATAGCATTTCTGCAAATGCAGCAGAGAACACCTAAAGGCTGTTAGTCATCTGCAGTCCCTGGGCAGAAAGATTAAACATCTTATCTATACATGCACAAAAGACTATCTACCAGTGCGATAATCAGCCACAGAATAATATACTACCAGCAGTGGAAAATTCTATGTACTTCAAATACTCAAACATCTGAATTAATTCATGTTTATTTTAATCATTACCTGTGAACAAAAGAAAAATCAAAGCAAGAGAATTAGATTTTTAGAAAACAATATTCAGCAAATATGGCAGAAACCAAAGCAAACAAGTAAGACATGGCTTACCATTAGTTTTAAAACTGTTGTCATAATAGGTGTGGTGATGCTCACATCTTTACTGTTTTTACTTTTTTAATTGGACACATGTCCAAAAATCCTTACTAGGGCTCTAGCAGCCATCTTATTGCTACCTGATTGGCAGTACACAGAAATGGCTGGAGGAAGGGTTGCACCAGTTGCTGTGCTAGATTAGGTCTTGTGCTTTGATGCTGTTTGCTGACCCCTACCTGTTTGCATAATCTTTAAAGTCGTAGGGAAGTCATATTTCATTTTCAAATCCTTCTGGCTTAAACATGCATATAAATGTACTCTTTATTAGACCATATTGTCCCAAAAGTTAGAAAAATTTCTATTTAAAAAAAGATCCTGTCTTAAAATCTGTTTTTGTTTTTTGTTTTCTTTTCATTATTTTATGCAGGCCAGTTAGTTAAACATCAGCCTTTACACCTAAATTTGGCCAATAATCTATCAATGGTCATCTGTCAATCATATTTTTTCGGTCATAGCATCTTGATTCATATGTTGCAGCTAACATACGCAACGGTTGAAATAAGAATCTATTACTTTACCATTGAGTTCCGTCCCAGTGTTCACGGGGATCGACGCATAGAGCTAACAGAACTGGCAGCGTTGAGGCAAGAGCTAAAACATGTACGGCTGTAAGCCTTCTACACCAAACAAAGCTTCTGCTGCCCTGGCGTCCTTTTCCAAAACAACTTCGTCCCCACTTTCCTCCTCTAAATAAAAAAAATGTATGACAAGGAGACACATCCACGACCTCTGACACAAAACTGTCCTCCTCTTGCATGTTTCCTCGGTCCATAGCGTTCCTTGACAGTGTCGTTTCTCTCATGTCCCATTGGTAACCTACTAGCACTAAGTTGCTAACTGGTTAGCAAGATGCTTCCTAGACACAGTCCACAACCAAACTTGCTTGCGAACCTTCCACCACAACAATTCCGACCCCTTGATAAACGACCAATCACATTCACTTTATTCACTCTTGTAAAGTCGGGCACCAATCGGGAGAATCCAGAACTGCAACCTTTGGAACAGCCGCTTCCCTACGGCTTTAAACCTAGATTATTATTATATTTTTTTTTTTCTCTGGATAATTCATCAAACCTGTTTTTACTGTTTTAAATGTCCACTTTCTTTAAAGCCTCTTATTCTTTTTATAGATTTTTTTTTGTGTGCAAATCTACAAACTTCATTTATAAGGATAATACTAACGTTTCCCTCCTAAAAGCTTTTCTTTTTGTGCGTTATTGTAAAAATTACAGATTTAAAAAGGACTAACTAAAGAGATAAATTGGGCGATTGAGAGACGAGTGTTTTAACCCCTCTATGTTAATTTATGGTTTTCAGGAGGAGGGTCAAGCTGGAGATCAGGATCAAGAAGAGAAGAGATGGAACAAGAGAACTCAACAGATGCTTCACGGTCTGCAGGTAAACACTACCCTGATCACACAAATAATGGCTTCTTACTGAGGCAGGTCTATATTTGTTGTTTTCATGACAAATATGCTCTGCCTGATTCTTGTCCCTCTGTCCCCGCAGCGTGTCATGGCGAAGACTGGTGCCGAGTCGGTCAGTCTCCTCGACCTGTGCAGAAACAACAACAGGAAGCAGGCAGCCGCCAAGTTTTACAGTTTCCTTGTCCTCAAGAAGCAGCAAGCCATCGAGGTCACTCAGTCGGAACCCTACAGCGACATCATCGCCACAGCAGGACCAAAATTCCACCTCATTTAGACATTGGAAAAAACAAACACTCTGCAACAGGCATACCTTTTTTTTTTTTATTACTCGACTCTTTGCCATTTTATTTTTTCCCAATAAGCCCAGTTTTTCCTTGGGGAGGGGAGTGGAGTGATAATGGTGAAGAACCTTAAGAAAATGGTTTTACTGTAAGAAATATTGAATCATGCAGTATTCGTGGTTCTAACAGAGTGAGGAATGTTTTGGCAGTGTATTTATAAAGCCCACCGCCCTTTTTTTTCAGTCACCAATTTGTAAAACTTCACTGCATATTGTTTTTGGGAAATGTGTCTGTCTCATTCCGCAAGTTTTGTATCAGTGCCCCTGTTCCAGCTAAACAATATTCTGATTTGTATTGAAAGCCCTCGTATCACGTTAACTTTGTAATGACTAGATGTTCTGGAATGGTACTGTTTTATCGTTCAGAAGTGTAACCTTACCCAACTTTCTGTTGCACTTGTTCTCTAATAAAAAGGTTAATCTTTGAATTCGCAAGTTTGATCTGGCTTTAAATAAGATTCAGATGTATAATTAAGGCAGTAAACTAAGGTTTGTGTAAATTTGTTTCTTTTTTTTGTACCTTTTTGTTATGCTTTTTTTTTTTTTTTGGGCCTTTTTGCATTATGTAACTAGGTTATGTACTTGTTACATTTAAGCTCACTATCCCACCTTTTTAGACTCTGGGTAACTTCTAGTTGTGATACATCTGTAAAGATTTGAAATAAAATGTTTTAAGTACTTAAGTCACTGCATTTTCCTTTTTATTTAACCTGTTGCTATATAGAATTATTTCATTTGAATGGAAAAGCTATTGGCCAACCCTGAAAGATTTGAAAATAAAACATTTTATGAGCTGTTAGAAAAGCATTATTTAAAGACTTTGAAGTGTTTAAACTGTTTGATCTGATTAAGTAAAATGATGTATTAATAAGAGAATATCCTTCACAGATGTTTTATCTTGCCTTTTTCTTGTAAATGTTTCAAATCAGTTTCAAAGATAAATTATTTGCTTTTTTCCCTCTTCAGTACTTTTTTTTTTTTTTTTTTGCTGATCAAGGTCAAATTCTGAATTCAATTTCATTAAAACACATTCACACAACACTTAACTGAAAAAAACAGACCCATATATGGTACAAATGCAGATTCTGTGGTCTAAAGAGGGAAGGATGTGAATAAAAACCAAGTGCCAGTATTACATAATATATCAATCATGCCTAATATCAAACATGGCGGTAGAGTGATGTGCTTTGTTGTTACACATGGTCAACTTGTGTTTCTTCCAGAACTCCCTTAGGTGGATTATAAAGCAGTTATAAACCCCAATGCAATTTATGATTAAAAGTAATTTTAACTATGAACCATATGCACCAGGGCATAATTACTCGACCTAGTTAAATGATTTTAGAGTGAATAAACTGGATTTTTAAGTTCCAAGCAGCCAAATATAGAACCTTTCAAAAGTTCCTCTATTAGTTCAGTCATAACCCCAATAATGTGTTACATCAGTATTTGTAGCTAGCAGGGTCTCCTTTTTTTTTTCTGGCGGAATCATTTCATCTCGTTGTTTCTACACGGACCGAGGACCGGAAACGTGCTTCACCTAAAATTTCCTCCCTTTCTTTCGCGTGGACTCCGGTAAATGGCTTCCCGTAAGGATTCCAGCACATCATCCAGCGCACAGATGGCTTCCACAGGCGGTACTTTGGATTCTCCGGTCAAACAGATCCAGATTGAAGGATTGGTAAGCATTTGTGTTCCTTCGTTTGGACCGTTTGCTAATACTGGGCGTTTTACAGCCATTAAACCGGTGTTAGCTAGACGCTAAGGTCTTAGCATTATGATGGCAGGGGATGATGGGCAGTTTGTACCGCTTATTGAACTATTTACTGTTATCTTTAAACACTACTTGGGATATTTTTCAGCGTACAACATAAAATGAAGATATAAACTTTTTATCAACCCGTGGCTATATCAAGTAATTCTTAAAAATGTCCAACGTGTTAGCTCCTTTTAGCTATAGGGCTCCTTTAGTTTGCTACAGGGGCGTTTAATTTGGACACCAGGACCTCCCCGTTTAAAGGAGCACCACACGATAATGATGATGGGTCGTCTCCGCCTTCCTCAAACAGCTTCTGTTTACTATTATGAAACATTTAAACTAATAGATTATGAATACAATTCTCAGGCTTCGTTTTGAAGTGTGGCCGAGTCATTATGTATTTCATATGAAAACATACTTTGGAGATACATACATACTTGTATATGTGTGTATATATGTGTGTTTAGGTATGCAAATGTATATGTGTATATGCATATGTGTAAGAGAATACACACATATTTAGGGGGTGTATATTAATAAACATTTAACACTAAGTTACAAATGTGTAAAATAAAACTCTTCAGAAGCTTTTTGGCGTAGTTTTGATTAGGGTTGTCAAAAGTATCGATACTCAAAAAAGTATCGATACTAAAATGTTGTATCCGGATACAATACTCGTTTTTTAAAAGTATCGATACAGTGCCACCACCAGTGGCACCTAAGCAGTCGGTCATCTAAAGTGCAGAATAGAGGACAATGCACTTTCTGAACACTGTGTGATTGAATAATTCTGTGCACTTTTCAGTTTCAGACTGGAACACTTAATTTTAATTTTATAAGTTTTTTTATCAAGCTTGCTTAATATTGTGCACAGCATACAACCTCAAAATATTGTGTATTGTATTTTATTTATTTATGAAATTATTTCTGTAGAATTTTGGAGTCTTTGTTTTTATCCTTGTAATAATAATAATAATAATAATAATACATTTTATTTCAAGCGCCTTTCAAAACACTCAAGGTCACTGTACATGTAAAAACAATAAATGGTAAAAAGCAATCGTCATAATTAAAAGAAACAACACAAATTATACAGAGGAAAGTAATATAAAATCATAATGAAAAGGCAATCTTGAACATGTGGGTTTTGAGTTTGGATTTGAATACGGGTAAAGACTCGGTATTGCAGATGTCAGAGGGGAGAGAATTCCAGAGTGTGGGCGCAGAACGTGAAAAAGCTCTGCTCCCCATGGTTTTAAGACGGGCTGAAGGAACAACTAAGTGAGTGGTAGAAGAAGATCTAAGAATGCGGGAGGGAGTAGAAATTTGAAGTAAATCAGAAAGGTATGGAGGGGAGAGATTGTGAATAACTTTAAAAGTAAGTAGGAGGATTTTGAACTGAATTCTATACTTCACAGGTAGCCAGTGGAGCTGCTGCAGGACTGGGGTGATGTGATGAAAAGAAGGGGTTCTAGAAATGATGCGAGCTGCTGAGTTTTGTACTGACTGAAGCCTGTGAATGGATTTTTGAGGAAGACCGAAAAGAAGAGAATTACAGTAATCAATGCGGGAAGTGACCAGACTATGAACAAGAGTGCAGGTGGAGCTAGTGGAGAGAGAGGGGCGAAGGCGATTGATATTGCGTAAGTGAAAGTAAGCGGAACGGGTAAGGTTGTTAATGTGAGAGGAGAAGGACAAGGTACTATCAAGGATGACACCCAGACTCTTGACCTGAGGTGAGGGGGAAATTATGGAGTTGTCAAATGAAAGGGAGAAACTGTCAGCTTTGGATAAAGTAGATTTTGTTCCCACTAAGAGGATTTCGGTCTTGTCATTATTCAGTTTAAGAAAGTTGGAGGTGAACCAGGATTTTATTTCGGTTAAGCAGGAGATTAATGAAGGAGGTGGGATACCTTGTGGTATCGAAAATGGTATTGAGTATCGAATAGTATCGGTATCGAGTTGAAAAGTTTAGTATCGTGACAACCCTAGTTTCGATTTGTAAACCGCTAAATTCAACAACAAAAATAATTTGTTGCTGAATTCATTTCTAATTTTTTCATGGGTAGTTCAAAGACCAACTTGCAGCATGTTTAAGTTTCCAAACTGAGCTCCATGTATAAAACACTGCAATTAGACTGTCTCTCTGCTTCATAACTTAGCTTATTATGTTTATGATCTGAAAGAATGATCCATATAATATGAAATATTTGAGTCTGAAATCTTAATTAAAACCTTGTAGGAACTAGTGTTGCTTAATCAATTTGGATAGATTGGAATCAGTCCATTTTTCCTTAACTGGTTTGTATTGGTGATTGGCAGCTCTTATACAGATAATCTGATTATTTAGGTTTTATTTACATTAAATTAGGGATGCACGACATTGGACTTTTGGTCAATAATTATATAAGCAATGTATTTTTCTCCCTCCTGTTCTGTTCAGTCATTATAAATAGCAATTCAGCTATATGTTTCTTAAAAACAGCACAAAAATTTTGCTTCAGCATCTCTCCTGTGGCAGACTCAGACATCAGTTTTGTGCATCTTACCACAGAATGCCATAGAAATAATCCTTTTGTCACTAAAATCAATATCCATTTTTATTAGCGAGTAATATTACCGTAGTTGAATATTTAGTTTTAAGCCAAAGTTATCTGATGATGATGTCGTAATCAAAGCATGATTGGTGAATTTCCAGTAATAATTCCGTTATTACTTGAGTAAAGCAGAGTTTTTAGTTATGTCAGATAGGGTCTTGGGAATCACATAAATCTGCATTCCTTTTCTCTGTTCTGTCCTACACGTTAGGATACCTAATCACTGATTCTGATGAGTTTTTCCTGACTGTAATATACTTTTGATAAGTATTCAATTTTTTTTCCTATCAGTTTAGAAGCTTTTTTGTCTCAAGGAAATTATCTTGGCATGAAGAGTTTGTAAAGTTTAATCTTCAGGATTAGACTGGCCAATTGGATGTAAAGATCTTCAGCTGTAAATGCTATTAAGGCTTTATTTTAAATGAAATTTAACAGTTGCTGGGCTATATTTTGGTAAAGTAGTCATTCATTGATTAACCTTTTGTTTTATCATAGAGGTCTGGCTTGCTATTCTTCTTTTAACCTCTCTTCTTCTCTCTTTCTCTCCCTTTTTAAATGACTCAAAGGAAGTATTGCAGGTCGTTTCTATAGGATTAGTAGTTTAGATTTCAACTGAAAATATGTCGATCAAACGATAAACCCTAACAAATTTATAAATTCCTAAGATTTATTTGATGAGCATCTTGGTAAGCATCTTTGCTGACAAAGATTTATCCATTTGATGCATTTAATTAACATGTTAAACCAAGTCCTTTTTTTATTAGACCAGCTGACCACAGAGGAAATGTTGGATTCTGACTTCCAATCTTTTAGTGCTTCACCATTTTAATTTCTTCCAAGTGGTCGAGTTGAATCGGAATTCTTCATGACATGATGTAGTACCCGTGTGCAAACAGTAGAGGACAAACTTGTCTCATTGGCATGCACTTGCATTCTCCCTTATAGTGGAGCCTAAACTGCATGTGGACACTAAGCAGCTTATTTCTTATAGGGCGCTTGTATGCTGCAGCCTGACATACAGTTTGTTTGACTCTCTTTTTTGCTTTGTCTGTGGCTGAACTTTTGCATCTAAATACTCCAGTTACACATGTAATACTCAAACTATTGAGATTCTTAGTTTCTCTTTATACGGCATCTTTTTTTAGATTACTTTAAAAGGTAGCATGGCTGCTTTGCAGCAAGACTGTCCTGGAGTGTCCTGGGGTCTATCTGCAAGAAGTTTGCGTGTGATCTCCCGCTTCCTCTCGCTGTCCAAAAACAGGACTGAT